ACTAATAGCCATGATACTCCACATGAAATGTCCCAGGACCCCGTAGATCTCCAGAGTGTTGGTCAGTCCTCCAAGAGATCCACTAGGGAATACTCTGTCAACAGCCCTCCCAGTAAGAAGAGTGCTTCGATTGATGACTGCCTTAACGACCTGACCGACATCATTAAAGACCATAAGTTACAGAAGGCCCGTACCAGCAAGTAGGAAGAGGAGATGGACAAAGTGAAAAAGATTTTGAAAGAAGATGATTTGCTAGAGTCTGATGCTATGTTTGCTTACGCTTTAATTATTTGCACGAACACAGTGCACCATAGGAACTTCCTGACCATGAAAACAAAAGAGGGTCGCCTGAACTTTCTGCAGATCTGCTAGGAGGACAGGAGATCCAGATCCAAGTAGATAATATCCGAAGAAGCGTTCCCACTGCGGCAGCCTATGTAGTTTTATTTTCCAAACCGTGCATGTTGAGTTGTACTCTGTCGTGGACAATATTTGTTTAAGTTGCATCGCTGTAATGTGGCCCGTGGCCTAAACTTTGTGTGCTGTTTTTTTTTGAATCCAAATAAAATGTGATATGTGATGTACATATCTTTGTTCAACATACATTTCATTTTTTGAGGTGTTATGTGGTGTACTGGGTCTGCATTTTTTAGGCCGAGGTAGCTGTTGTAGTCATCACCGAGTCCCCAGGTATGAATCCTTCCCTACATTTATGTGCACATAGTCAGTATATGCTACTTGAGTCCTAAATTGCTATTAATTGGTGTTGTAGGTTCACCTGCAATTGCTACCAGAGTATCTCTATTAATTGGTGTTCTAGGTTCAGCTCTCCTGTAATCCTTCATTGGTTTCTAAACAAGACAAGACTCTATTATTGTACTATTGAAACGTGCAGACCCTTCATTTGGACTAAATTAGCATGAGTTAAGATTGAACCAATTTGAAGGTTCGTATTTGCTACCTCATTAACTCATTTGTTCAGAAAGTAGCAGTATGAGTTAGGACTACTTTATGTCAGCACCAATAAATTTGCGTACAATAATTTGATATGGTCTTGTAGATGAGCAACAGTGAGGAGTTCAACAGCAGCAACATTTCTAGGACCACACATTTTCAACTTGGCTTCCCCAAGATAACTATGTGGTCAATGCAAGGTACAAAGCAGTGGCATGATCCGCCGCGGTACGTACAACTGCAGGGAGCTTGAAGGCTTCATAATCTTTTTGCAGGGGCGTGCACATTGTTGACTTGAGCCGTCGTACCGAGAGAGATCCGATACGCCGTAACGTGTGGCTCATAGTCACAGCTACTCCATCGCGCGTCGTCATCCTCCATCCAGCTTCTCCAGCCAATGCAATGGGGGTAATTAAGGGGGCATTAGCATCGGCGTAAGCGCCCTCGTGCTGCTAACCCCTTTGTTTAGTGCCGGGGTTTGGCACACACGCGTCGGGGCCCGACTAGGCGCGATGGGATCCGTTGCGGCGCGGTTGTGACACTTGTGCGCAACTTGCCCGCCCCGGCCCTCGATCGCGCCCACGCCCTTTTTCAATCTCTCCTCTCCATGTGGGCATGGGGCAGGGGACATGCATGCAGTTTCGGGCCTCATAATAATTAACCTACTGGCTTCTTGATTTTATACTCTTGACACCTACTCTAGTTGTTTACAGTGCTTTTGCCTGGAAAATATCAGCCGACTCACACTGCCGTTTTGCAGTGTCCCGTCCCGGCTTTGTTGTTTCTGCCCAAGTGATGAGTTTCTCTCCTCGTCGCGCTTGCAAGGTGCAAAGCAGCAGTGGTCAATGCGGCTCTAGTTGCCAACCCTGAACTCCCCTTCCCCAAGATAACCAGATGACAGTGGATCCAACTCAATCTGAGCAACGAACGAAAGTGCCTCGACAACTTGCGTATGTCTCTTGATGACTTCCTGCAGTTGCATGATATTTTACTTGGGTTTGGACTCAAGGGTACACGACAGACATGATCTCTAGAAACTTTAGGTCTATATGTGTGGACTTGTGCTCACAACGGTGCAACTAGAAGGAGCAAGGATATATTCGAAAGGTCTTTAGATACAGTTAGTAGGAAAGTTACTCAAGTAGCCGAGGTTATGTGTAGGTGGGCAGACTCTATTCTTGTTCCAACTGATAACACTTATGCTGGTGTGAAAGCTCAACTTGGAACATATGCACCATTCTTTGATGGATGCATCGGGGCTTTGATAGCACTCGTGTTAAGGTGATGGTGAATAAGCAGGCCAAACTTGACTATATAAATAGGAAGGAGATGTAACAATTAATGTTTGTGTCATTGTCGACATGGATGGGTGCTTCACATATGTCGCTGCCGGGATGGCGGGGTTGGTGCATGACATGGCCGTCTTGAGAGATTGTTGGGCCAAAGAGAACTTCCCGCATCCACGTGTCGGTTAGTGAGTATTGACAGGCAATTGTTGGAACAACATTTCTAGTAGCTTGGGCAGAAATTAAAAACTAATTGTGCAAATCGTTCATGTGTTGCAGGACGCTACTATCTGGTGGACGCTGGATACACGCTAGAGTATGGGTACATGGGTCCTTTAAAAAATACAAGGTATCATCTGGATGATTTTAGGGATGTACCTATTGAGACTTTGTCTCGACAGAAAAAAATTAACTTGGCGCATTCAAGGCTGCGCAATGTCATCGAACGGACATTTGGGATTCTGAAGGCACATTGGCACATTTTGGATGGGGTTCCGTACTACCATAGGGAGAAACAAAAGATGATTATTATGTCATGCTTTGCAATGCACAATTATTTATACATTCGTCAGCATGGATTTGGTTCGCCTACGTACACACCTAGCTAGTGGGTACAACTCAATGCACATAATAGTATAACAGCGATGAGGGAGTACATCTCTTTGGCTCTTTGGGGAGAATGATTGGGCAAAGGTGATGTAAATTAGGATGGAAAGTAGTTTCAATTAAAGCTACAACTCCCTGGTATGTGTACATGCAGGTTATGACATGTTGTCCACTTGCAGGCAAGGCCGAGTGGTGGAGGAGAGGTCTAAGTGAATTGGAGGATGGCATGAAGACCCATTGATGGTTGGGTAAGTGACTTTTGCATGGGAACCGGCTTCATGCTCATTATTATGTGTCTTGAAAAGGGTACAAATTTTGTATAGATTTCACTTAGGTCATTTGTTACCTGTAGAGGAATGATAGGAATTGGAAATAGTAGGATTGTATACCAATGTAGGTTGATGTTGTACATGGAGTACATGGGCATATTAGAAGGCGTATGTTTCTGTAGGTGTTGCAAATGTTTTGTGCAACTCCTACAAGTTTTGTAAATGGTCCAGTAATCCTCCAACTAGTAGTGTCATGGACAACTGAGGTATGTACTGCTGTAATGAATTATTGTAATTGGATCTTAGGAATTCTAATGAGCTGTTGTAATGCCTGCAAATTGGTTCAGCTAGCAGCTGTGTCTTGTACTGTTGTTGTAATGAAGTGTTATTTCACTGGCCTTGGAAGCATATTTGAGTGAGATGTAATGAAATGGTATTAGAACTGGTTGGTACTAACTTGTATGTGTTAATGTTGATACTTGTTGTCAGACGTGTATTTGAATGGGTCTGTTAGTTGGCGCCAACTTTGGTTCATTGACTCCAGAATTTGATTTGAACTGAGTACATTCAAATGGTTGCAGCAACAGCTGGTTGGCTGGCTGACGGTGGGCTGATTCAAATCAGCTGATTGACCGGCCCAGCCAACCAATTTATAACAGCCGAACGGATCTTGAGCTTTGAAGACGCACAAGTGAAACGGATGGTGGGGAAGACAGATGAATATTTTATCAGAGTTGTGGGTCCCACGTACTAAGTAGCACCGGTTCCATCTATTTTACACACTGCAGCTTAACTTGAGTGGTGCTCAATTTGCTGTACCTAGACCCACATATTTTCTGTCTTTACTACCACATTGTGGACGGCCTAATGGATCCAAACAAGTTTTTATTTCATAGGACCGAAATTCATGTACCCAGACATCTTATATGTAGGAGTGGTACAACAATGTATAGAGGCAGAGTAGAACAATGCATAGAGGCAGGTCAAATAGCTATCGGACTGGCTTAGGACCTGCCATTGCGGACGTCCTATGGACTAAAGTTTGTGACTAATACACAACAAATTGATATTTGCATATCTCCGAGCAGATAGGGTATGTATTGTTTGGGCTGTCAATTCAATAGTTATTGGGCATAAGTTTTTTTTTTTTACAAAGTCAGTTCTTAATGTCGTAGCTGCAATAAGCCTTTAGGCCTTGTTTGGATGTAGTCGGATTCACGTCAATCCACATGTGTTGGGGTGGATTGGAGTGAAACTTGAATTAAATTCCACCCTAATCCACCTCAACACATATGAATTGAGGTAAATCCGACGACATCCGGACACGGTCTTATTGTATGGTTTTGCACACGTACGGATAGGTGTAAACAAAGGCATGGATGTGAAGAGACCTGAAATATGCCCGCGAACAGTTCAAGAGTTGAGGCTGTGCACTTGTGTGCTGTGTTATGTGACAATAAGCATCAATGCTTATCTGACCTGCTCTTGCGGGGTGGTTCTTTGCTATGGGCGACAATCGAAGTGTTCTGTAGTTACGTTCCAAATACCTGTTGCTATGTTGTCGCTTTTAGCTTGCTGAATCACTACAATGTTTTCTATATATAAGAGGCCTATACATAATTGGCAACCTGGCATATGTTTTTGTTTGACCTGAATCTGAATGTCCTGTTTTGCTCATATAAAGTTCTTACCACATTGTTACTTAGGGACAGACGGACAGGGTGACACTTGGTTGGTCCTGTGCATGCAATTCAGTCGATACTTTTGCAACCTATTGTGTCGTGCACAATGCAATTAGTAAAGAAATTGAGCTTATTGCATTTGTCATTGTACTTCTCTTGTGTAAGAAACAAATACTACTTCCTGTGTTGAAGGACCTTTACTATTAGCGATCCAGCCTGAGGTTAAGCCTCCTGAGCCAGACAGAATGCATGATCATGTGAAACATGTCCAGCCTCTCCGGCGGCTGGTGCAGCATGAAGTGGCGCTTCACCAGGCGCACCCCTCGCTGGAGCCTCTCCACCTCCGGCGCCGGTATCCGCTCCAGCACCTCCCTCAGCCTGGGGATGTCGGCGACCGGCACCGCCACCGAGAACGCCTCCCACTGCAGCACGTCGGCGAAGGGAAGCGCGTACCCGTTGGACAGGATCACCGGCACGCACTCGGCGTACATGGCCTCGACCACGCGCGGGCTCGCCACCTCGTACCCGCTCGGGCACAGGCAGAAGCGCGCGCGCCGCATGGATGCTTAGTAGTCGAGCGGCCCGTCCTGCTGCCCGTGGCTGTGCTCGTACACCGGGAACACGTCCGGGTCGCGGCCCTTCCAGTGCAGGAGCAGCAGGTCGCGGGCGTGCCCATGCCGACCGCCGGCGAAGAAGGCCAGGAACGGGCGCGACGCCAGCGGGGGCGCCGGCGCCAGGAGCTGCCGCGGCATGTCGCCCGTGTAGAGGTTGATCTCCGGCACGCTCACGTCCTGCCCGGGTCGGAAGCCCTCCGAGGTGTTGGCGTTGCAGAGCGCGCGGATGCCGTTCGCGTGCAGCTCCGGGTGCCCCCTCGACGCCTCAGGGCCCTATGCATCCCGCACACGCAGAGGGTCAGTAAAATGTTCGATCCAGCAAGATTTCGTAGCCTCCGGCCACCACACTGACCCAGTCGTGGCAGGAGAGCATGAAGTGGTCGGCGCCGGCGGAGCGGTTCCAGTAGGGGTGCCGTGACGCGACGACGCGGACGTAGTCGGCGACGATGGCACGGAGAGGGGTTGTGTCGTAGGTGTTGGGGCGGTACGCGAACTGCACCATCTTGGAGACGCTGAACGGCAGGAAGAAGGCGTGGGCGCGCGCCGGTTCCGACGTGCGCACGCCGCTGCGCGCACCGCCGCCACGACGGCCTCCTTGCGGACGCGCCGGCGGGGCCATGAGCTCCAGCTGCTCGATGAAGCGGCCCTCGATGGTGTAGATGTTCTTGCACGGGCCGGCGTGCAGGATCGGCGGCTCGCCTTCCTCGTACACGTACACCTTGAACCGCTTCTCCATTTCTCTATAGCTCCTGTGCCTCCCAATCACCGTACGTACTCGTGAAATCAAATGGCTATCGTTTCGTTCCGTGTTGGGTTTGGGTCAACGTCGACTCACCGGTGGAACGCGGCCGGGTTGCGGTAGACGCTGGCCACGAGAGCATGCTCCACTCCAGCGTCGAACCACGTGTCCGCCGTGGTTACGTTGCCACCGCCACGGCCGGGATCAACCCGCCGCCGACGCCGCGCCGATCGCTGTATCGCGGCCCGTGCCGCGTCAAGCTCCTGCTCCACGCTCATCAGCGGTATCCTCCTGGTCCTCTGCCTCACGGGCACGGTAGTACCGTAAAGGCAAGGAAACCAAAAAAAAAAAATCATAGCGATGTGTAGCAGCAGCTTCGGTTTGCATACACACCGTGGTGAGAGAAGAAGAGACGAGCAGCTGCTCTGCCCGCGCAGGCCGAGAAAATGCCGTCGACGAAGAAGAAGAGGCGAACAGCTCATTCGAGCTGGAGACGTCGACGGAGCAGCTGCCGAGGACGGTGGAAAGCGCAACGGTAAGGGTCAAGAAGGCTGCACGGAGGGAAGCCCCGCAGCAGCTGCCACTCCGGCGGCGAGACATGCGTACCGCGAAAAGGCCCCGTGGCTCGAGCGCCGGCGCGCGAAGCATGGCGGCCTCCTCGATGTCTTCACGTTCGCCCAGGCGGCAGGCGCTGCACCTGCACATCCACAATGGGGAAGGCCAGCTCGCTCTCGGGCGCCGGGCCACCACCGAGGAGGCCATCCTCCCTCAGCACATACGGGCTCGGCGGCGGCGGTAGGAACCCGGAGGCCAGCTCCTGCGTCGACTGCCCCAGAGACCGATGCACCATGTTTTGAGATGTTTCTCTTGGGTTTTGCTTATGACCGAGCTCACTCCAGTCAGTTCCTATTGACCAGTTTACAGCGAGTCTACTGCTGTGTACATAACATTTATGACTACAGATAGAGTTTGCATGTTCACTACAGATATATTGTTTTTCTATTCTACTAATAAGTATAAAAAAAGATAGAGACGTATTAATTAGATAAATCTTTTCCCGCACACCCAACTACTTTTTCTTAATTAATTTTTGAAACTTGGTCAATCGATGTCTAAAACTCTATATCGTTGACAACACAAAATTTACATTACTATATCCACAATACCAGCGTAGTAGTGTGATTTTGTTTTTGAATTATATCACATTGCAGACGTTGTTTTCTGATGTTTTAGACATTGATTTATGAAAGACTGCAATAACGATAAGAGAGTGTGAATGTGAGCCTCAAAATTCTCTAAGTGATACTACGTCACAAGCACTAAGAGTGAAAGCATTTTATCAAGCTTTCAAGATTATGCAAAAAAAAAAAAAATTGTTCACCTCAAGAGTAAGTAACTAGTCATGAATAGCACGAGGATCAGTTATCACTAGTGCTATGATAAGCCTAAACTAGGCAACACATTCTCATTCGAAGGTCATTGCAAATGCCCTGCATATGGATCCAAGCCTTGTTATATTCCATATTCAAGTTGACTTCTCACAACCATATGCCCACTTATTTGGCAAGCAACATGAAGCAAGTAAGCATATGTATCGATCGCAATTTAGCACAAATTACCTTGGTCATGAGAGGATTAAGCAACCATGGGGTGAAAGATTATGTTAATCACAAAGCTATTCACATTTTAGCACAGGTTATGTCTTTGTGACACAAAGAGACTAGCTCTCCCAAGGGTCTATCATGGGCTTAACATTTGCAATGGCAAAAAGTATTTGACCCAAACAATAAGAACAAGCATGCCAGGCATAAACTTATCATAGAACTAGCCTTAATACAAGCCCTACACATGCTAAGTATCTACTCAAGTTATATTGTTAGAAGCATATGTTCAATTTTCAAAATAAGCGTTGCTCAAAGATTTTATGTCAAAGCATCAAAATGAGACTAATCTTGCACATCTTACTACACTTTTCTGCTACACAAAGCACACATCCACTCTTAGCACAAGAAAATGCTAAGGTTATACAAGGAAACTCAACTAAATGCAAGGTGCTCATATCATCATATGATACAAGATGTAAAAGCAATGCTAAAAGAGATAGGATTCGGCTCAAGATCAAGAAGCGCTTAGGAGGTGTCGGTGTTTTGGAACCGGGGGTCCTTAACCGACTAGTGAATTTGTGCTGCGTGCTCCCAATTCCGGATGGTGATGCAAAGAGACACAAGGTTTATACTGGTTCGGGCAATGGATGCCCTACGTCCAGTCTGAGAAGATGTTCTTGTATTCCTTGCACCGGGGTGCTCGTAGTAGGGGGTTACAAGCTAGGCGAGAGAGGGAGTTCGTCCCAAGTCTCTGTGAGGGGAGGTGATATGAATTACAGAATGCGGCGTGTTGTTCGTGCGAGTGTTCGTGACTCTATCCGCCGTCCCTAGAAACGGTCCTGGCCGCCTCCTTTTATAGCCGCAGGGAGGAAACAAGAAGTACATAAGAGAGCTACACGTGGAGCAAGGACTATTCGATGACGTATTTACTCCTGGAGCAGCATGGCGTCGTCGTGGGAGTTCCCGTAGATGTCTAATCGGTATGGTCTCCACTGCAAGTAACATGCTGCGTATTTGTTGACTTGGTGGATTGCAGAGGCTTGGCGGCCATCGTAGCCGGTCGTGCCGAGGCCTGTCGTGCCAAGGCCTATTGTGCCGAGGCCTGTTGTGCCGAGGCCTACCGTGCCGAGGCCTGAGAAGTGACCCAGGTGCAGATGCGGGTCCCAGCGGTCATCAGGCGGAATAGTGCGAGACGTGCGCCTACAGGATACGGTACCTGTATTGTCAGTAAGGGATGGTAAAAAAGGTGATCTGACCGTTGTCCCGTCGCTCCTGTTGCAGCGCACTGCCGATCGTGGCTTACGTAGCGGGTGCAGTTGAGCGCATTAATTGGATGCGACAGCCTGCCAGAGAGACCTTTGAGGCGGAGGCGACGAGGTTGCGGGACGAGCCCGGCCTCGGGCGAGGCGGAGCGCGGCCAATTCATCCGAGGCCCTACCGGGGAGGGGTCTCGGGCGAGGCGGAGTAAGATCAGTGAATCCGAGGCCCTGTTGAGGGGGCTCGGGCGAGCCGGAGCGGTCGGTCCGCTGATTCCGAGGCCACAGGAACCCGTTCTGACTCCCCACGTTGCGATGTCCTTGGCGCAGGAGTTAGGCAAAGACATGTTGGTCGGTAACCCCGCCTCTGCCGTCGTAGATGGCGGGGAGGTTGACGCGACCGGCATGTAGTCGGTCACTTCATTGCATCTTGTGCCATCGCGCGCGTCTATCGGAGTGGTTGGGCGCTTGGATGCGACGTTCGGTCGAGCAGTTTGGTCAAGAGGCGGTCACGGGCTGGTGCCGAGCCCGGCCTCGCGCGAATCGGAGAATCGGCACTTCTTCCGAGGCCCCGGTGAGGGGCCTCCGGGGATCTCGGCGAGGCGTCTCGGGCGAAGTCGGAGAATCGTTCGCTTCATTGGGTTTCGGCGACGGGTCTCGGGCGAATCGGAGATTTCGGCCGAGACCTCGTTTGTTTATTCTGTTGGTTCTGTTCTTAGGGTCTAAGCAGTTTTTTGATCTTTGCTTGGGGTACCCCATTTTCTGGTATCCGACAGTAGCCCCCGAGCCTCGGGCGGGAGTGTGGGATACTCTCCCCGAGGTTTTTTCGAGACTTTTGTTTCTCAGTAGCTCTTGTCGGGTTTGTTTTATACTCGCGATTCTGGTGGGTGCGCGCGAGTGCACTCCGCCGGGTGTAGCCCCCGAGGCCTTAGAGGAGTGAGTTTACTCCTTTAGGGGTTTTTTCTTCGTTGAGTAAGGCGCTCTATCGCATTCGCTAGACCCATGAGAGCGAGCTCGGGTCGCTTGTTTTTGTTTGGGGTGCAGGAGGAGCCCCCGAGCCTACCGAGCCCTCGTGTGTGATCCTAGGTCACTGGGTCTCGGCAAGGTTTGCAGGAAGAGCCCCCGAACCTCCGCACGGAGCGAGAGGGCGGTCAGGAGTTCTCCTGGCTTCTTGTACGACCCTCGCGCATCCTTTTCGTTCGGAAGGAGGGGTTGTTTGCCGAGCCCTTCGTGTGCGAGCCTAGGGCACTGGGTCTCGGCAAGGTTGCGGAAGAAGAGCCCCGAGCCTCCTTGACGTAGCGAGAGGGCGATCAGGAGTTCCCCTGGCTTTTTGTACGACCCTCGCGCATCCTTTTCGTTCGGAAGGAGGGGTTGTTTGCCGAGCCCTTCGTGTGCGAGCCTAGGCCGCTGAGTCTCGGCAAGGTTGCAGGAAGAGCCCCCGAGCCTCCGCACGTAGCGAGAGGGCGATCAGGAGTTCCCCTAGCTTTTTGTATGACCCTCACGCATCCTTTTCGTTTGGAAGGAGGGGTTGTTTGCCGAGCCCTTCGTGTGCGAGCCTAGGCCGCTGGGTCTCGGCAAGGTTGCAGGAAGAGCCCCCGAGCCTCCGCACGTAGCGAGAGGGCGATCAGGAGTTCCCCTGGCTTTTTGTATGACCCTCGCGCATCCTTTTCGTTCGGAAGGAGGGGTGGAACATGCCAGGCTACCCTCGGTGGGCGCGAGCGGTGACATTTCCGGTGAGCTTTTATCGGGTAAGTCCGAGTGGAGGCCCGTGCCCCATTCGATAGGGGTCGGCTAGTGGTCTAGAGACGCGCTCCAAAAAAGTACCAGAAGGCTTCTCTAGCGGGTGCCAGGGCCGTTCGATTGGCCCTAGGGGCTCGGTGCCTCCCTACGGTGGGATCCCCTTTAGAGAACTCCTGCTGGTCTCGGACACGACTTAGGGCATCCCAAGCAATCGCTTGCCTGGGCATCGGCCGTGTATGGGCTCGCCCATAGTTGTCCCTGACTCTGTTGTCCTGGGGCAGCTGTCGAGGCCCTGGATGGCCCAGCCTTCGTACCCCTGGATCGTAATGGGCTTGGTGCCCTTTATCGTCGTGTTTTTCCGACCCTCGGGGTGTGAGAGGTTGTAGGAAGAGCCCCCGAGCCTCCGCACGTAGCGAGAGGGCGATCAGGAGTTCCCCTGGCTTTTTGTACGACCCTCGCACAATCTTTTCGCTCGGAAGGAGGGGTTGTTTGCCGAGCCCTTCGCGTGCGAGCCTAGTTCGCTGGGTCTCAGCAAGGTTGCAGGAAGAGCCCCCGAGCCTCTGCACATAGTGAGAGGGCGATCAGGAGTTTTCCTGGCTTTTTGTACGACCCTCGCGCATCCTTTTCGCTCGGAAGGAGGGGTTGTTTGCCGAGCCCTTCGCGTGCGAGCCTAGTTCGCTGGGTCTCGGCAAGGTTGCGGGAAGAGCCCCGAGCCTCCGTGACGAAGAGAGAGGGCGATCGGGAGTTCCCCGGCTTTTTGTACGACCCTCGCGCATCCTTTTTGCTCGGAAGGAGGGGTTGTTTGTCGAGCCCTTGGCGTGCGAGCCTAGTTCGGCCGGGGGTCAAGAAGGTTGCGCGAGGAAGAGCCCCCGAGCCTCTGCACATAGTGAGAGGGCGATCAGGAGTTTTCTTGGCTTTTTGTACGACCCTCGCGCATCCTTTTCGCTCGGAAGGAGGGGTTGTTTGCCGAGCCCTTCGCGTGCGAGCCTAGTTCGCTGGGTCTCGGCAAGGTTGCAGGAAGAGCCCCGAGCCTCCGCTGACGTAGCGAGAGGGCGATCGGGAGTTCCTCCGGCTTTTTGTACGACCCTCGCGCATCCTTTTCGCT